AGAGACAGGAAAATCTGACCCAGGAAATTTAAATAATATATCCCAAGTTAGTCGGATGGTTAGTGACCAGTGAGGTCTAGACTAAGCTTATACAGGAAAATTAGCACAGGATTTGGATACAGAAAGACATGGATTTGTATACAAGAGTTTACTTGTATACTTAACCTCTTCGAGACTTGGTTTCTTCATCTACAGCAAAATCTATTCCATAGAATTACTGTGAAAGTTAAATGGGCTAATATAACATCTCTAGCATAGAACCTGGCATCTAATAAGCCGTCAATATATGTGAATTCCATTCCTTTCCATTATTCCATGTGTCCTTAGCATAAGGACTCTATGATATTTAAGCATGAAGTCATCTATGTGTTTCTGGTGATGTCTCCTCTGTTAAAATACCTATGATCTAATCAAACCCTCTATATAAGACTCAGCCTTGAAGGAGACCAGGAAGTCCAGCTTCTGGACTGGAACTCTTCTTCCCTGGAATGATAAAGTATCTCTCATTTCCACAGGCAATCCCTCCCAGTAGAGTGTAGTGGTTAAGAGTCACACTCCTAGAGCTTGAATCCTGAGCTCCTCACCTGCTTGCTGAGACACACATTATTTACCATCTCCAAATTTCAGTAACCTGTGGATAGTAATACTACCCACCTCATAAACTGCCATGAGGTCTAAATAAGATAACTGATGGAAAAGTACCTGGTACGGTGGCTGGCACATGGTAGGTACTTAATGAACTCAGGCATCAGCATTATCACCATTGTCACTGTCATTATCATCATCATCTTACCAAGCAGGCCTGATATTCTAGCCTTACTCTTAAATTAGTAGTCAATTTTAAGAGTATTTTACTTTTCTTTTTTTATGTAAGTCAAAGACATTTTCACCCTAGAACTCCCCCCAAAAGCATACCAGAACTAGAATGTCTGAAATCTCACCCAACACAAACCCTTGGCCTTAAGTAATTAGGAAAAAAAAGTCTATTCCAAAATCAAAAACAGCTAAAGTGCGGTACGACCATAATCACTACCTTGTTCAAACATCTAACGCCAAAAAAAAAAAAAAATCCAAGACAACATACGCACTAAGTGAGGCCAAATTGGGCAAATCTAGGAGCCACTTCCGGGGAGAGCACAGGAAAGGGAGTGGCAGTGGGGAGAGAGCCGGAAAGCTTCTTTGTTTGTCCAAAGCAGAGATTACCGAACAACCGAGAATCTGCAGGTGACAAGTTCCATTCAGTCTTCTAACTTGTTTTGAGAATCTTATATATGAAAGGCACTGGAGCTGAAGAGGGCGTAATTAAAAAGTACGCAGGAGAACTCTCAGGAAGGGGGTCGTCTGCTTGGGAAGAGAGAGCAGGTTAACCATGGTGCCGTGAGGCAGATGGGGGCAGCTGTCATGAAGCAGCACAAGGAGATCATGTGGGGACCCACGCAGGCCTGGGGAGCTAAGGCCAAGTCACCCAATATGCTGCCCTCTGATGGTGCTTCTGAAAGCCCCACCCCTCAGCTGTGGTAGGAGACCCAGCCGCAGGCTCCCAGAGCACCGCTTCCTATAGCCACACTAACTGCTAGAAGGTCTCCGTTCACCCTCCTCACTGCTGAGGGGCAAGGTGAGAGCACAGACTCTGGAGCTGAATGGCTGGAGTCAAATCCAATTCTATCATGTTCTGACGGTAGGACCTGGGTCAGTTCACTTAACCATGCTGTGCCTCAGTTTCCTCTTCTAGCAAATGTGGTTAAAGCAGCAGTTATGTACATGGCTGCTGTGAATATGGAAGAAGCTACTCTGAGTGCTTACAGCAGTGTCCAGCACACAGTCATCACCACACACTGCATACAGCTCCATTAAGTGCTAGCTTGTAGCATTGTTACCACGGTGGCATGCACACAGCAGATATTCAGAAGTGTGCTGAAGGACAAAATAAACAAAAAACACAAAAGGAAGATGCTGCATTTGAAAAGGAAAGATGGAGCCAAATTTCATAAGCCTGAAGAGCTAAGTCTGATAACATCCCTCTTTTAAGAACCATTTCCTTTCATGTAGATGAGGATTTGGTCATCATGCCATGTCAAGTCTATCCCTGTGGGCGGGGGAAAGACCTCACAGTATTTAATAGCTTTTGATGTTATATTAAACGGGAAAAGAGTTTACTCCCTTTAAATGTTCTGGAGGTAAAGCAATTCATTAAAAAGGGGGGCTAAAGTTTCAAGCCGGAAGAAAACCTATTAACTGCCTGCTGGATGGGAGCCATGACTTTAAAAGTACAGTCAAAAGCAGTGAAGCCAAACATAGATATGGTAAGAGCCTCTCCTGGATGTTCTTATACATTATCCTGGTTCCCTGGAAGCCAGTCACCTGTAAAGGAAGGACAGGGGAGAAGCACAGGGAGATATACCTGCTTTAGTTAAGGTACCCAGCTTAGCTAAAAATCTTATAAAGTCCAAATGCACCAAGCAGAGAACTCTGGCTAAAGCGATAAGCTCTCAGGCCTGTCTGATAATCCATTGTGTCCACAAGGCTGGGGTCCTTCCATGTCTCCCACGCCAAACAGCAGTCAAATGCAAAGCCACCAGCAGAGTGTGAGGTCAGCGATCCACCAGCCCACATTCAGAGCTCTTTACAATGCCTACAACTTTAGGCTGAAACCCCAAATGAGTCCAAACCCTCAGGGTATAAGATGGATGGTTGTGTTACCCACACAGCCTAGATAATGTTTACCTGTTTAACCATCAAAACTTTTATGAAAGCTATGAGACAGAACTTGTTCTTAAGAATACATCGTAACTCATCTTAAACAGTATCCTAAGTTTAACTTTTCTCAAGGCAGTTCTCTCCTGAAGCATGTCTGGCAAGTTACGACTGGCAGAAAGGGACCTCCCCTTCCACGTCTGCATGGTAAGTTTACGATTTCCTTTAGCTAAGGATGCAAAATGACTTAGCAAGTTAAGTCTCTACACAGAGCAGAAATACATGTGGCATTATCTCAACTTGGATTTTCCATGGATCCCTGGTTCTCTAATCAGTACAGCTCCTTGTGACATCAGGTAGAATGTGTCAGAGCTGAGAAAATAGTTGAATTCTTGGTCTGCTACTGCTTTTTTATACCCAGGTATAATACTATCAGGATTTTCCCAAGTCCTTTCTTGGACCATCTATGCCCTTGCATTCAGTAGAATATTTACAAACACTGGGCTCTCCGGCTGTTAAACCACACTTGGCACCTACAAAGTGACACCCCCCTCTGGAAGGAGAGAGCACAGGAAGAGTCAGGTGTCCCTCCTCCCAGCTTCCTAGCATCCTGGACAGGCTTCCCGGCCGGGCCCACCTGCCTCTGATACAACGCCACTTTACCACCGTGGTCCGGGGGCCTCATCACAAGTCCCTTCTCTTTCATCTGTTCTAAACTTCATGTCTGCCACTTCCAATCTTCTCTGGGATGGGAACTAGAGGGTTATTTAAAATATTTACAGAAATCAAGTCAGTAGTTTCAATGAGAGTCTGAGGGCCCCTGCCATGCATTAAAATACATAATGCACTCTGTAAAATCTGTTTGCTTATAAGTTCTCAGGGAAGATTGCTGGAAGCTGAGTTCAGAATAAATAGGATGCTATTGTGGTATTACTGCTAGGGGGTACTTTGGGAGAGAATGGCACTTACTGAGTCCATTCCACATTCCATTCACCCTGAATGCTCCTCCCTGAAGTGGCCGACTTCTCGCTCGTTCTGGTCTGCCTGCCGTGGAGCCGTATCTGCGAGGCCTTCCCCAGACACCTGTGTAAAATGACCCCTGCCGCTGCCTTTCTGTAGATCCCGTCTCCTGCCTTCCTTAAAACCACAGCTTTAATCAGCTCTTGGCATGCTGCGTATTTACTTATCCACTGTCCGTCCCCCTCCATCAGAATGGCAGTTCTGTGAAGTAGCCGGCTTATCTGTTTTGCACAGGGTCTCAAGAAATACTTTTTGAACGAGTAAGTCAGGCATAGTTATTTCAAATACCTTGTCATCTTAATCCTCCCCAGCCTGCAAGTCACGTAGTTCAAACCTTTTAACAGCCAGGGAAACTGAGGTTGGTTACTCAGTACTTGGAGAGCACAGCTTTGGGGTTTCGAGCACGGACCCTTGAACCAGACGGCCTGGGTTAGAGCCAGGCCAGTCACTGCCCATCTCTGTGACCCTGGGCAAGTCCCTGAACCGCTCTGGACCTGGGTCGCTTTATCTACAAAATGGCAATAATAATAGCACTGCCTTATGGAGTTGTTGTAAGGAGCTCACTGCTCACAGCAGCTGCTAAACAAAAGTTAAATAGATAAAATCTTAGCTGAGGGACACCTTATAAAAATGACTGACTTTCTCATTCTGATTTCTCACTCATATTACAACCCCCTGATGACCCCCAGGTTTCTGGTTCATCTATCTAAGACAGAAGTACAGGTATGTTGACTCCAGCCTGTGCAACAGACTTATGTATTTCTCATCATAAATTAAGCAATCTGTGAATCTTGGTTAACGTGCTAACAAAATCAGGGTTCTGAACCGCCAAGACGCAGGCCCCAACCCTAACAGTGTTACAGACACACCCTCGCTGTTACTTAGCAACGTCCTGGACGCCTTCTCCAAACAAGACCACGACTTGCATCCACTGCCCACCCCACAGGCTGTGTAGCCAGGAGAAGGGAGTGTCGTTGCCTTAGAAACCTCTCCTCTAATCAGCAGAAAATGGTGAGAGGTGACAGCTGGACAGACAGCCAGGCAAAGTGAATGTTTTGTCCAAAAGTGCCCACACCTGTCCCCTGCATTCACTACTTCACAATAGGATAGCAACCATTTGCCATAACAAATAACCTGCTTGCCCACGTTTCACTTGAACCAGGAGAGGGAATGTTTCAGCTCGCAACGGGCTTTCCACGCTCCCTTGAAGGGCAGAGCCAAGTCCCAAAGCCACAGGCAGCCCACAGCCACGTGGCAGCTTCCCCATGGCCACTTCCTCCAGTTACCTTGCCCTGGTGGTCGTGTTTCATTTCCCAGCCCCTCGGCAGCTCCAGCTGTTTGTTTGCAAACATGTTGAGGAATCCCACAAGGTCCCGGTTATGCTGGTAGCGTTCAAAGTGGTGTGTGTCCCGCCGGACTTTGGTGATCATGTGCTTCAAACACGTGTTGTTTGTAAACATGCGGTAGGCACTCTGGAGGGAAGGATGGAGAACCAACGTTAACCTGCTGGTGACACGCAAAAGCAACACAGAGACTACCAGGAGCATATTTCGTCTAAGGCTGGTACCTAGGCTTCGACGTCACTTTAGACTCACACGTGGGAACGGCAGACAGAGCAAAACAGTTTTGATCAAAATAAATTAGACTGCAGAAAGTAAGGGCGTCTTCCCTGATGATTCTAGTTTTCTAAGGAACAAGAATGCGGTGGAGTCTCATTCTACAGGGCATATTAGGTCCTCAGGCTGGTTTTAGGCAAAAACCACACAGTCACAATCACACCATGCCGGAGACGCATACACCACCTCACGGCAAGCCCCAGTGTTTCCTCCAGCATCGGAACAGACCGTTGGCTCTCTGGGTGAGCGCCAGTGAAGCAGCTGGCATACACTGAGGAGCCAAGTTGTACGGGAAAATGCTTGGTCCTGTATTTGAATATTAGAAGGACATGTGATGGGCTGAGCTGCTCTCACTGAGAGTCATATTCACTGAGATCACAGTAGATTGGAGGGTTTCATCCCGCTCTTTCTTGGAGGCACAATCTCAGTGGCTGGAATGGCAGGCAGAATCCCCTGGACTGTATACTTTGGTCTCTTTTTTCTTTTTCCCTCTCTGTGTTCCCTGTGTGTGTATGTATGTGACTGAAGTGCACACTTGACACACTTGATGAAACTCCATTATATCAGCACACAAAAAAGTGATTGCTTTGTAAAATTCTATGGCATCCATCTCTATGATAATTAAAGAACAATCCAAAAAAGACCACAAGCCACGGGCCGTCCACGTATCAGTCAGACAGCAAATATTCATTGTACAACACCATGTGCCAAGCAGCAGGAAAGGAGTAACTGTATAGAGCCATTTCCTTGAATCATCATAAAGAATGTGATGTTCATGAAGCTGACTGGCCGTGAATGATCTAGCCTGGAATTCTATTCTTCTCAGGTAGATTCCCAGGGCTTTGGATTCCTCTGAACTTCAGTATCCCAGGGACACCAGACTGAGTCTGGAAGCCTTCAGGCCTTAATTCACAAGTTCTCTTATTTATTTCCACCTAAGAGAGACCAAGGCAAACCCAAAATAGACCAGAATCCCTGGAAATCATTTCACTTTAATAAACATTGACTGTCTGTGCTGTGCCCAGAGCTGTGCTGGTTACTGAGGAGGAGGGGTGAATCAAGATGCAGACAGTCAACACTGCTTGTCTTTCCAAAGTCCCTCAGGATGTGTCACGTCCAGGTCAAAGCATTTATTGCCAATCTGGGTCCCTCTAGAGCTCTCTCCCTTTGGCACAGTAAGCACAGCCACTGGCAATGTCTGAAACGGCGGCTGCTCCCCGGTCTGGGGTCCTGGGACCACAGGGATCACAGAGCCCTGACAGCCCAGCTTTGAACGAGCAACAAGCCTCTGTTCACTGAAGCCACTGAAATTTGTCAGCTGCCATTATTGACATATAATAAACTACATAAAGTAACTTTTCTAGAGTGATTCTGATTGACTTGCTATCATTTATACTTTTCGCTTTGCATTTTAAAACATTTTTCTTCTATCAAAATGAAAAGAAGGAAGGAAGGAAAGCTAGCCACAATGAACTATCCTCAAATACCAGTGTGCTAGCTCCTCAGTAAGCCTGAGTAGAAAATCTCTCGAGGTGGTCTTTCAACCTGCCAGTCTGAACGAGAGGAGATCTGACGGCTGTGAGGACGTGTGGGGTCCAGAGCCCAGAGCACTGCCCGAGCAGGCAGCTGGCGCAGGGGGCTCCGGGCAGTAGACGGCAGAGAGCATTGGCGCTACATGACAGAGAGAGGGGGACTCATAAAGAAGTCGCAGGTGGCCAGAGACAAACGTTAGTGAACGCAGAGCTGAGCATGTGGCTGCCCCCGCCCTGGGGTTTTAGGTCCCATCAGCAAGATGTCTGTGTTCTGCACTTGGCTCCATGTTGCCCATAGATTTTCACAGAAGCCTTTGCCAGCACAGAGGCCCGAGCCCACATGAGCTTGTGGGAGGGCGATGGTAATGAGCCTGCAGGTCATACTCCCTAATAAGTCTCTTTGAGGACAAGTTATTGTGAGATAATTCTGTCAGATAAATCATTTCAGTAACTGTTGTTCTCAACAGGTGCCTCTCTTGTCACCCTCCCTTTTCCCTCCCCAACTCCATTAAAATAAGTAAATAGGCCACATCCTCGTTCTTTATCTAGAGCACCAGAAATGTTCCTCACCCTGCCAAAGAAAAGAAACAGAACTTCACTAGGGCGCAAAGGAGCGGTAATGAGGTGAAGGAACCCGTCCCAGCCTCAGGCCTGAAGTAATCCCGGAGGGGCTGGATGGCCCTTTAAGCACACAGTCTGAAGGCTGGTCTTAGAATTAATTACATCCTTTCATCTTCCTCCTCTTCAATCAGTGAGACGTCTACTACAGTGCCAAGTTCAACTGATCTTTTCAAAAAGCATCGACCAAAGTAAATTAAGTGTAAGAACGGTTTCTCCCATTAGTAGCTAGAAAAAAACCTTCAGAACCATGGCTTTTTCAAGTCTGAATGATACGCACATGACTGTTTGGGTCTACGTAAAACGCTTAAGGCAAACAGGAACATCCCTCCAGACTGCTACATTTTTTAATAAAGAAATTACATACGTATTTATTTATGTATATTTAATTCATA